TTTTTTTTTTAGTTGTGAGGGAAGTGGAGTCTAGTGGAGATTTTTCGGTTTTGATACGGTTCACTTATCTATAACATAACTTCTCAAAGTTGTTTCTTGAAAATCAATCTACAAGCAAAATACTATTACTAAAGCCAATATCTAAAGTTAATAATGAAAAACTATGATTTACTTATTATATTCTTAGATAAATATTTTAAAATATTAGGTACCTTTTTTCATAAAAATATATTTTTTTTGTAGACAAACTAGTAATATTTATCTAATTAGATAAATATTAGTGTTATTATCACTAAATGAGGAAAAATTGTAGATTTCGTCCTGTAAGTGCCAAAAAATCGTGAAAAATGGCGGCTAAAGCAGGTAATTCTAACGGCAGCTACCGGCTAGCTGACGTGAATTTTTTACCTGATTAATTTTTTTTTACTGAGTTGTAAGGCTTATGCTTACGTGGCAGATTAGGTGGATAATTACAAAAAATACGTAAAAGGGGGGACTCGAACTTGGGGTGCGAGGCACTCCAATGGTCAGATGAGACACTTGACCTAACACAACTTTGGTTATATATTTGACTTCTATTTTATATCAATCAAAAACTTTTTATCCAATATATATATATATTTCAATTTATACTACTTTTAAGTATAGAACTAATATCTAATTTATTTATGAAATATGTAATAATTACGAAATACAAATCATTAAACTAAATAAATAAATAAAGCTTATTATATATTTAAATATCTTGTCTAATAAAACGTTTATTATCATTATTGTTGTTTTTATACTAATTTATATTATTAATTTTAATTAGTTTTTTATATGTTTAAATAAACATTTACTAAGCAAATAAATATATTAAATAATACAATAAATAAATATATTAAGGAATATGATTTAACTTTACCATATTTAAGTGAATAAATAAATATAGAATATATTTAAATAAATAAATAATATATTTAATATATAAATAAAATAATGAATATATTAAATAACTAAATAAATATGTTAAAGGCAGTTGAAATTAAATTAATATATATTAAATAAATAAGGGTAAAATACTTTTTTTCCATCCGAACTATCACGGTTTTGGCGCATCACCATATAAACTATTATTTTTTACAAACCACCATATGAACTATATGAGTTTGTCAATGTGCCCCCTAAACCAGATATAAAAGTGGTTTTGACTGAAAAAGTTGTTTGATCAACATATGTGCCCCTAAATACTTTTACAAACCACCATATCAACTATCAGGGCTTTGTCAATGTCCCCCCTACACCACTTTTATACCCAGTTTAGGGGAAATATTGACAAACCCGTATAGTTCATATGGTGATTTGTAAAAAAAAAATAGTTTATATGATGATGCGCCAAAACCGTGATAGTTCAGATGGGAAAAAGTATTTTACCCAATAAATAGTTATAAAATAAATTTTATTGAATTAAATATTTACTAAATATATATTATATTTAATTAACTTTTATTTGTATGCTATATAAATATATTAAAAAATATAACAAGTATATTTATTATACATATATATTTTTTAATTTATACTACTTTTAAT